CGTGAGTGTAGTCGTGAGCGTAAGCTTGAGCTTCATTCTATCAAATGATGCTAAAATCACTCCGAAGAATTATAAGCGTTTTACGGATTGCATATCGATACACATTCAGTTGTGGAACGTGCCATTGCCGTCGCAAACATTCTCTTGATGGTCATTACGTATCATTATTAATTTTTCAAGCTCTCGATAGTACAAAAGTCAATTAATGGATAATTCATTCGATCATTTCTCAACTGCATCGTTTCGATCAATTCAGAATTCACTCATAAACGATGTGGTATGTTCAAAAGAGGAGTTTTAGAAAAAGAAAATTGCCGAGAGGCTTATGCTATACGAAAATGTGCGCTTACAACTGAAATAACGAAAGAATGACCATATGAAAAACGACATGAAGTTGAAAGGAGTGGAATTCCACGTAACAGCGGACTGAGAAATTTTTGAGAAACTTTTCAATCACAAAAACTTTCCTTCTAATCATTATTCGACACATCCTTGCGACAATTTCGCTTTTTCCGGTAAATCGCACTATCATTTGAAAATTCTATTTACGTGAATTTAATCCTTCAAATTCCCCATTTTAAGTTGGTAGCCATCCTGAACAAGAAGTTAGTAAGAGAATATTGGTGAAACAAAAAAAAACAGCACACAGTTATCATCATTGTATAGGTGAAAGGACGTTTATCAATGCCACTTGAAACAATTTTCTCAAATTCGAAATTGTTGATCGCTGAATGGCTCACTAAGTGATACTTAATGCTTTCGAAATAAGTTCCAAAACTTTTGCTGATCACTCATCTGAATGCATCAGTGAAAAAACTCCTATTTGCACATGCAAACAATATTGCAACATTGTATGAAACCGTGTCATGAAATGTTGGGTGAAAAAAGACGTTTTATCCTTTAGAATGCTTGCAAATGAGGGTTTTTCGCGATTATCCACCTAAAATGATGTTCCTCCTCTGAATTTCTCGTGAGGTTTCCAAGCGTGGTTGTTAGACTAGAGAAAGAGCCATTAACTGCTTAGTCAGTAAATCAATTTCTAGCAGCTCCGTGCATTATGATTTTTTGTTAACTGAACCATTGCCAGCTGATAAGTGAACAAACGAATAAATGCATGACGCAGTTCAACAGTTAATCATCAACAATTCGTAAACAACTCTCATTCAATTAACATCGGTTATTTGGCACAATCGTACTCATGTGATACAATGCAATTCAAGCAAGTATATGTTTTGAACAATCAACGCTATTGGAACAGCTACGCAAGCACTTGATTAGCGTGTTAGTGTGGTAGGCAATATGCAATAATGCAATCCACCCTAACAGGTAGAGTAAAATACAATAAATGAAAACCTTGCCTGTTTGGATATCATGAGCAAAACGAGTATCTATCCTATGTGGATGCGTGATAAGTCGATATTGATGGCCAGATTTGATCGACAGCCATGAATTTGACAACACTACGACGGAGATTGAATGTTTTTTTCAAGTTCATGGATTGATGTGATTCGGATTTTGGTCTATTCATACCTAGCAATATTGATTCATTAAACATCGATTGATGAAATTCGATTCTGGAATACCTTTACTCCGTTCACATACCTACAGAACATATATGCATTCTTCGTTTGTGGGTAATTGTTGCTCGCTTTGACGTGTCTGTTGGACAAGCTTAACAAATAAGAATAACATCTTTGTGAAGAAATCGGTTTTTTTGCTGCATTCATTTCAGTGACTTTCGACCAATAAAGGCAGTCAACAAATCAATTAAGCGCCAGTGTTATCAGATTGTTTTCTATGAGAGCGTGAATTCAAAGAATCAACTGAGAATAAAAAATAGAGGAACCATGAGAAAAACGAACAAAAAACAATAAACAAACAATCATTGAAATGCTTAGCGAAGTGAAATGTATGAAGAAACGATAAGGAACTAAACAACAAGTGTTTATAATAATATACATATCATGTCAGTTAACAGCTGTAACAACGAATGAAGTAAAGATGTATGTGGTATGATTTAGGTCGAATTGTTCTTTGCGGAATGAGTAGTCTTCATTTTGAGCAAAATCGATTTCAGACAATGAGGTTTCTAAACAAGATCGATGCCGGGCACGAAAAATGTAAAATTCATACCGAGTGATGGAGATTCAGATGGAAATATAATTGAAAGTTTCGACTGTATGAGTCTATCGAACAAACAATTGAAATGTGTAAAATTGGTTGGATGATGAAGACGGGTGATGAGTTGTGGGTGTTTGTGTTTGTGTGAGTGTGTGTGTATGTGTATGTGTATGTGTATGAGACGAATAGCATTTGCTATAGATGTACGTTAGGACGAATGGAGCACATTGAAAGGGAGCCTTGCGGGCTTGATTTATTTGTTCGTAGACTTCATATTGTCGCATCGAGAGTATCTCTTCATCGCTGCTCACACACGACACATGCACATAACTGATCCGCAATATTCCCTTCTTCATTTTCAATAATATCTCGCTCCAATTGTGGCGAAGCAGTTGCGGTTGTCTCCCATTTAAACGATTGTTTTTGTTGAGATTCGAATACCTATAAACTGAAATAGTAAATCGCAAACAAGAACGAAACACAAAACAGGATCGTAAACAAGAACGAAACACAAAACAAGAAGTGTATTATTTTGAAAACTTCTGTATAAAGCCGAAGAGTGTTCAAATTGAAGTTTCCATTTGATGTTTACTTTCTAAAATTTCGAAGAATTTTCCCTAAATTATACTGGATGGAATAAAATTCGGTGAGCGATCACTTCATCGAAATTATC